TTTAGGGTTTAGGGTCAGGGTTTGGATTTACGCCTAGGACTTGAGGGTGGAATATCTCGCTGATTGCGGTCAACTTCTCTACATCCTTCTTTGTAGATCTTGCAGTTGCGGTAGCGTACTTGCGAAGTCCGTTGATCCCCCAAGCCCTTGCTCCTCGAAAACACGTCAGAACAGCGCCAAAGGAGAACAGCTTCACCGACCAAGAGCTCGCAGGAGTAATCCCCAAAGGCTGAGGTAACCATGCGCCCTAATCTATCCCACGCAGCTCCACAAGTACATCCAAAAAATAAACCCCTTAAACCCGAAGCCTTCAACTCCGACTATGTCTCGCCAACCGCCAACTGTGCTAGCAACTTGTTCTCTGCCGATCTTTTCCTGCAAACTGCATTGTCCTTAGGAGCTTTTGCTGCCACCCCTTCGAGTTGTAGGTTCACGAAGGAGTGAGTATCCGATTCAGGGCATACAGGAAGGAAGGCCAAACGCCTAGCAGCAATGACAGATAACCGGATAACAGCTGTCGACCGTGTCTTTTGGGGTAGGATTCCTGTACCCACCCTTATAACGCAAGCAAACATCCTGGCAGTGCCAGCAGTGCAAGCACCAAACCCCGAAGTCAAAGCTTCTCGGCCTTCGAGGCCTGGCGCGAAACCCCTCAAGGCCCACTGTGCATTAAGTGTCTTGTATCATGCTTGAGACACTTTGCAAAGGAAGTATAGATACTGTCGATACTTGATGCTTATTCTGTGAAGCCCGTTGGAGTTGAGGTGCTCTTTCTTTTCATTCTGACGGCGCCCCTTCTTTTACTCCGTCAAGCAGGCGCCGGCGATTTCGGCGCTCAGTTTCATTGAGCTCAGGGCTTTAGCTTTCAGGGCTTCGGTCTTTCGGCTCTTGGAACAATCCACAGCCACGGTCCTGGATGGGGCCCTCCCAGATCCCAAGCCGGTACCGCACTATTTCGGGACTGGCCGTCCGGAAAACCTTGGCGCTGCAGAGTTTCGGGGTATGTGCTCAGGGCTTCAGTTCGGTCTATCATTGAGGCTTAAAGTTTCAATAATCCTTGGCCTGCACCTCCTCAAAAGCTAAGACCAAGGCCACGAAAGGAGACAAAGAGAGCCCCCCCCAAGGCTCTGAATCCTCGAGCTTTGTACCCTCTCCGCTGATGGGCCATGGCGTTTTTTTTCCGGAGGCTTCAGGAATCATGGGGTCTTAGGGTCTTAGGGTTCTGGAGTTTATAGGTTTTGGAGAGATATAGAGGTTAGCTACGGAAGAGTCCCTCTCATATCAGAGGATTCCTGGAATCCCATCGTTCCAGACGAAGGGAGGCTGGAATCTTCGGGCTCTTTTGGCGCTAGCATGCGCTACCGAGCACCATCAGGGTCTGCATAGGGGCACTAGAAGGACTGCTACCATGTGTTCTATGGGGGTTTAGGGTTTAGGGNNNNGTTCAGGGTTTAGGGTTCTATCGGGTCTTGCACACTGGCGCTTGTCGCAGCTGAGGCGTTCACTTGCGCTTCAAGGAGCTCGGTAAGGGGGGTAGATGTGTTGGCCTGGCATGCACTCCAGGCTGTTTATCGTTGAACCAAGCCTTAGGATGGGTTGGAGAGCTTATTCTAGCTAAACTTGGGTTTGAGGCTTTGCGGCCATCTTCACTGTCAAGACGAGGAGTTGCACCTTGAGGTGAAACCCTCATGTCTGCGCGGCACTGCGTTGCAAGTTCGCCCCGCGCAAAGGTTTCGCCGATGATGCTAAACAGATCCTTGGGTTGCCATCGGTTCTACGGTCCTTGTCTACCGCTCTGCAGGCACGCCGGCCAGTAGACCTTGAACATTGCAGCATGAAAACTGGGCGGATAAATGCTTCAACGGCAGATTCCTCACACCCAGAACCCCTAATCCAAGATTGCGAAAAATACCTCAGCCTATAAGCAGGCCCGGTGCACATGAGTCCGGAGGAAATCCAGCAGTTCGGCNNCTGCCGGTACTGGCGCAGAGGGATCAGCCAGCGGTGGGCACGCAACTTCGAGCCTAGACCTGGACCCGAAACCCGCACAAGCCTGAATCCTGAACCCGTATAGAACTTGAAGATGGAAGGTTCAAGGCGGCTCAGCAGTGGCTTGGGCATGAAGGGCTTCACTGGTGGGACCCCACCCACTCGTGTTCTGCGCGACACCCTAATCCTCTCTGTCTCTCTGTTTGCCTCTCTCTCTCTGTCTC